CAAATGAAATATGAAATAAACACTTTATTCAATTTAAATATAAACTAAATTTTTATTTCACTCTTTGATTGGATGCCTGGGGCCCTTCTGCACACTACTGTAAAAAGTCAGTACATTGGGTACATAGCATTGTTAGGTTTCATCTTGCAATGCTATACCATCATTCGACAGGGCTGGTGCAAGTGTCTTGTGCCCCACTAATCTATGATACACACCCTGACTCTACTACATCTCAATTTTCATAAGGTAATATTCATATAAAATACAAATTTATTTGTAACTTAATTATTTACAATAATGGATCAAATGCAATAGAGGTGAACAATTCAACCAGAAAAATTGAAAATAAATACAATGTATCTAAATACAAATTAGAGACATGTTATAATAGATCTTTCCTTCTTAAATAAATTTTTTTGCAATAATTTTTAACATCAATAAAGATTTTTAATGTTAAAAAGTTGAATAATTTTAACACATTTAACATTATAGATCAAACAGTGAATTTTATATAATGATTTTTTTTTGAGACTTGGAATGAGTAAAACAAATTCACGGATTAGGACGAAAAAATAAATAACCCTGAATGATGTCAAGATCTGTAAAAAATTTTCATCCTTTAATAGTCAGTCATGCATAGTTTAATTTGTAACATATATAAATGTAAATAGAAAAAAAAGCAAATGTTGATAAGATAGCGAGAACCACAAAGCACTGCCAGGGGCCCCCAATCAAACTTTCCTCCACCAGCCTCCAGGTAAAGGAGCAGGGGGCAGAGATAATACACACTGACCCTGCTAGATGGAATGCCTCTTAGGCTGAAATCAACAGTTAGGGAGTAGGGTTTCCCAGTGGAATCAAAAATGATATGACTGTAACTGAAGCAAGCCTTCAAGTTGGAAGACATTGGTCATGGTTTGACCGAAATTGGGATGAGGTTTACTTGCAAAAAGAATGCTACACATGAATAAATACCTCTCCAGTTTTGAACCCAGAAATGTGGTAAGAATTGGTTAGGTAGTCAGCTGTATAGTGACCCTAAAGTCATTCCTGGTTATGGGGCTGATGATGAATGATGTCATATGCGTCTGATGTTATTTTTTGAAATCCATTTTAGAATGCCTATTTCAGAATCCGAAGTAATTTTGTTGATTTTTTACCATAAACAATTCATGAGCCTTGATTAATTATTTCATCACAATATAATCACATCGGAGAGCATCTTGAATTGAAAAAAATATAACTGCTTGGATGTGCTCTTTGCTATGATATCTCGACTTTATGAATTTAAGTGCAGCACTAGATTGGCAACAAGGTGTCATCAATTTCCAGTTGAGTCGGTAAGATGTAACCACAAATTCTATGCTAAGAGCTTCTTTTCCCTCAATTCTTACTTGTGGAACTCACTTCAAACTCCAGGTTTCCCAGACAACTTTAATCTGCAAAAATTTAAATGTAATGTCAATAGCTATCTTCTGTCCTCCTGATTACTCTTCTTTTGTTCTTGCTACTTAGTAATGTTTGTGTTTTGTAATTCTTCCACACCCAGTAACCCCTTGTGGCTTTACTGCTTTGCTTTGGGTGAATTTGATTAAAAAAAAAAATTGATATTTTTTGGTTTCAATCCTATTGAAAAATGACTGTAAAACACTTTCCCCTCTCCAAATTTATAGAAGCAAACAAATGCAGGCCAATAAAATAGGCTGGTTCTTGGTTTCATCTGACTAAATCCTGGTCTGCCTTGTCTTGAAGTCAGAACACTAGTTTTGCTTGTCCAAACTTGCTTTTGTGTGTCAACTTCAATTCTTAGTTTATGAATATTACTGTTGCTTTGCCTTGCAGATATTGTTTCTTGCTTTATATTATTTTTTGCTCTTTTCTTTTCTTTTTCTTGTTATTGCATATTGCAAACTTTGTCAATTCTGTTTATTGTACACTTCTGTTACTTATTTTGCATTTGACCATGGTTACTCACTCCACAATATTTCATAACATATATCGTCCATACTTAGAATGTTGCTGTGACATATGATCCAGTGCCCCTGCTATTTACCTTGAGTTCCTTGGTAACATCCCAAGAAGAATCAGTAATATTATTGGTCCTGATCTGATGGCTCAGCTTCAGTCACTTTTCCATGACTATAAAGTTGCCTCTCTGTGACTTTTCTATAAATACTTTCATGTTAATTGTTCAGAGGAGCTCTTCACTATGGTAAATAGACGTTCTGAATTTGAGCGCAGTACTAGACTGGAGTTGATATCTCATCAATTAACAGTTGAGCTGGCGAGATGTAACCATAAATTCTATGCTAACAGTTTCTTTCGTCGCACTTCTCACTTGTGGAACTCCCTTCTGGCCGCATACTTTCCTGCTAACTTTAATCTCTAAAAGTTTAAATACAATGTCAATCACTATCTACTGATTACTCTTTCCTCTTTCCACTCATTATTAATGTTTATGTTCCTAATTTTTTCACACCCTGTAACCTCTTGTGTCTTAGTGGCTTTACTGCCTTGCATGGGGTGATACTGATTAAAAAAGAAATTTTAAAGGCATTATTAAGTATGACATAATATACATGTAAGTAGAATCATCAATGCATTAAAATAATACACATGATGCCATTATTGTACCACAAAAGTCTAATCAATACAAAAGAAAACACAGTGCAGAGCCATCAATCTTTTCTCTATGTTTCCTCCCTGATTTCTCTTGTTCTTTATCACACTGCACTGATTCCATTTTGCCAAATGTACCAAGATGTCTGTTCGTACCACAAAGGACTTATTAGTATCGAATATCAGTGCAAACATTTTACTCTCTTTTCATTATCAGAACCAAGGGAAGTGGTATAATAATGAGAGATGATTAAATTACAATGGTTGCAGCAATTTCTATTTTTTTTCCAAAGCATTTTGGTTTACATCAAAATACTCACAATGTTTTGTCATGATTCATAAATTTTTCTACCAAGTCTTTCTTACTTGGCTCTTATCCCAAAACCAAATAGAAAGCATTTTCCATTATTTATTTCACAGTCATTTCTTTTTTTTATATTTACCCTTTACATATATCAATGGTCTTGCACATTATTTTAAATTAATGATAATAGATTTTGTATGCGAAAAGATTCCAGAATTTCAACTAAATTTTCCTTCCTGTTTGTAAATTTTACAGAAGGAAATTTAAAAGAGAAGAGAGTTGTCAAGAATTTTATATCTTGAAACTCTCCAAATATAGATGAAATATGTATGTGTTGATACAGAAAATGGAATTGGTAAGAAGGGGAAGAAACTTCTAAGAAAAAACAAAGTCATTCTCATACAGCAACACATTTACCATGTGTCCGTCACATACTGGTGCCACATATTGTTTACATTAATCACACGTCTGATTTTGTTTGTATGACAATGACATATTAGTTGGTGGTTAGTAAATATACTATACATCTTTCATTGTCCAAGAGGGGTTTTAAATCAGTTTGATGAACTTGCCATGGGTGATAATTTCCAGGACAAAAAAAGCTTGAAATACATGTGACAGCCTGGTGGTAACAGATATTTTCATGACATAAGAATGTGAGCAAACCTCCACTATCAAAATCAGGAGCAGAAAGGCTCCTACTGATACTAGTAAACAGAGCATATTTAAGCTTGTGGCTCAGCTCCATAGTCTTCGAAATGCCTAAATTCAGTTTAAAATCAAAAACAAAAATCAGTCATTATCATTATATTTACTTCAGCATGACCACTGATGTAATTTGAAATACACTTAATACACTTAACAAAAAAAAAAGTATAAAAGTAAACTAACAAGAAATGTAGTATAGTTTTTTCATATATGCATGGAGGTGTTTTACTGAATACAGCAATGAAGTAAACATAAAAACGTACATTATTTACATTGTTTTGGTCATTGCACACTCCAGTCTTCTTTTGATGATATACAATGTAATTTCAAAGCAAATCCATTATTTAATTCACTAGGGTAGATTGTTCTAGTTCCACATGCTATGCCTTTTCTGGATATCTCAGTTACATGTCCTTAGGGACATGGCCCAGTGGGGGAAATTCTCAAGTATATCACCTGAAGAAGATCAGCAAGTATGATGGCCGAAACATTGTGAATACGACAATAAAAATGAGGAAAACTGCCTAAACAATGTAAATAGTTACAATACCTCATCTCAGAAATATGGAAAGAAGGAAGATTATGTTGCACCATTTTTCAAAGAGAAGAAGCCCAACCTAATAATTACAAAGTATTCATTTGTTGTTTATTTTAATGGGGATAAGGTCTAAATTGGTGCAGATAGGAAAGTTTTAACAACTGATGACAAGTAAATTTCCTAGGAAAGACATGGATCTCCACCTCTCTGTGTAATGTTCTGCGCAAGAAGCTATCGATGCTTGCTAGGCGTCGATTAATGCCTTGCTAGGATTTTAGGATGGTTCTTGATTGTCCCTCCGGTGATGGTGGCCTCCTATTCCCTTTTGCCGTTAAGCTGCTGATTCCAATCAACCGGATGTCCAGAGGGGACCTAACTCTCGTGTCTCTAGGGGTTATCTCCCTTCTGATACTGGGATATTACAATGCTTTCTCTTTTTTTTTTTTTGATAGGGGTTTAGCAATCGAGTCTTTTGGGTGGCCGTCTTGCTCGACCTGTGCGCCTGAGGTTGGGAGTATGTTGTGCCTGGGTGTCTTTAGATTTTGCTGGTGTTGTAGTGTGTGTGTAGTTTTCATCTTCAGATGAAGAGTAATCGAGTGGGTTGTGTGTGGGGCTTGTTGGTGGTTTTGGGATTTTCTTGAAAAAGGTGGCATTTCTTGTAGTTTGGTTGCCCTCATGTGTGGCAGTTATCATGGATCCCTTTTTCTTTGTCACAGTCATTAGGTTAGGTTGGTAGGGTGTGAGAGCCTTTGAGGTGTGGCCGTTTTTTATAATGACCGTGTCACCCACTCTGAGATCATTGGGTTTCACGTATGTTTTCCTGTCAGCGTGTCACGCTCCCTGATGCTGGGGTCTCCAGCTATGGGTGTGATCAAGTGTGGCAGGCGGTTTTTTATGGTCCGGCCAAATAGGAATGCAGTGTGGCGTTGTTTGGTAGTCCAGTAGGAATTTGAATAATTCCTGCCTCCAGCTTCGGCCTTTAATTAGGGCAGCCTTGATGGACTTTTTTACAGTGCGCATAAAGCGTTCTGTTTCAGCATTGGCCTGGGGCCACAAGGGTGTTATCTTCCTGTGTTTGAATCCGGTGATGGAGGCGTAGTCTTTGAAATCACTGCTGTTGAATGGTGGGCCATTGTCCGTTTTGAGGGATACTGGTACCCCAAACTCCGCAAATATTTTGTCCAGACGGGGTATCACTGATGTCGTTGAGATGGAGTCTAGGATGTCAACAACAACGTAGCGTGAGTACACGTCTGTGACAAGTAGGTATTTCCCATTTTGGAGGTGTCCAAAGTCAGCGCTGACTTCTGTCCATGGAGCCACTGGTAGTGGGGACATTTGCAGTGGTTCTCTTGCAGGTTTGAGGGTGCTGATCTGGCAGGTGTGACAGTTTCTGATGTTTTCTTCTACTAGGGCCTGCATGTTTTTGAACCAGACCTTTTCTCGGAGGAGGGCCGTGGATTTCACAATGCCTTGATGTCCGGTATGTGCGATTTGGGCAGCTCTGCTTTGTAGTGTTTTGGGCAGTACTATCCACCGTCCTTTGAGAATGATGCTGTCATTGTGCACTTGTGAGAGTTCGGCACGGTTGGCATGCAGAGTTTGGAATGTTGCTTTATCTACGTCATCGTCAATACCGTACCACTTGTTGGTGAGGAGGGCTTGTATGACGGCTGTGAGTGTCTTGTCCTTTGTGGTTTCCATTGCGACTTCTTCAATCGTCATTGCTTTGGGGGTTGATGTTGAGAGGATGTAGTTTATATATTCTTCTGCTACTTTTTGTTCTCTGTCACTCGGTGGCAGGTGTATAGGGTGACGGCTGAGGTAGTCAGCTGGGTTGTCATGACCTGGTCGGTATATGACGGTCATGTTGTACGGTTGTGTTCTCAAGACACAGCGTTCAATGCGTGCCGATAGTTGGGAGCGGGTGTTGTTAAAAATTGATGATAAGGGTTTATGATCTGTATGCACAGTGAATGGTGCTCCGAAAATGTATATGTGGAAACGTTCACATGCCCATGTGATAGCGAGGGATTCACGTTCTGTTTGGGAGTATCTTTGTTCAACTGCGGATAATGCTCGGCTTGCAAATTGTACTACCTGTCCACTTTGTGACAGCACGGCAGAGATGCCTACGGGGCTAGCATCGGTGTATATTTCAGTGTGTTTGTTCGGGTCAAAGTAGGCGAGTGAGCATGCTTTGCTCAGGGCGTCCTTGATTTGTTTTAAGCATTCACTGTGGCATTCAGTCCAGGACCACTGAGTGTTTTTTTTTGTTAGTTGACGTAGGTCGTGAGTCAGGGTCGCGTAGTTTGGAATGAATTGTGCACCACAGAAGTTAGTCATCCCCAACAAGCTTCTGACTTCTGATGCATTTTTATGGTTGGGTAGCCCAAGGATAGTTTTTATTTTGAGGCTGCTTGGGCTAATGCCTTTGTTGCCAAAAGTGTGTCCGAGGAATTCCAGTGACCTTTTGTTGTACTCACATTTGCTGCCATTGAGGGTGAGACCTTTTTCGCAAAGTCGCTGGAATATTGCGCGAAGGTTTTGGTCATGGTCTTGCTGGTCTGATCCAAAACAGAGGATGTCATCACTGATGTTGATGGCTCCATTAATCCCCTGCAAGTGCTTGACTGATTTCTTCCTGAATATCTCACTGGCGGAGTTGACACCGAAGAATAGCCTTTTGTATCTGTATAGGCCGAGGTGTGTGCAAAGGTTGTTATGTAGCGGGACTCTTCAGCTAGTTCCAATTGGTTGTAACCTTGATTGAGGTCTAATTTGCTGAAGATATTAGCTCCTGATAGAATGGTTTTCACTTCATCTAGTGTGGGGGGTTGGGTGCCATTTCCTTTTAATGGCCTTGTTCGCTGCTCTCATATCAATGCACACTCTGATTTTGTTTTTGGTCCTCTTCGGTATGACCATGATGGGAGATACCATGGGGTTGGCCCTTCTGCTTTTTCAATAACCCCTAGTTTCTCATCTTTTATATTTGTTCCTTACGTCTTTCCTTACGTGGAAGAGGATTCTGCGGTATCTCTGGGCAACAGGTGGTATGGTTTCATCTATGTGTAGGTGAACCTTTTTCCCTTTGAGTTTACCTAGGCCATTGAAGAGGTCTGCATGGTTGTCCAGAAGTTTAAGGTGGAGGAGGATTTGTGTGTCAGAGTCACTGATATGGTTGATGGAGAGTTTTGTGCAGATAGCAGTCCTAGCCTTTTGCATGTCTCCCAGCTGATGATGGGCTTTTCTGGGCTCTTTATCACATGTATGTCGGCCTGGCAAACGGTGCCCATGAATTCTAGGCGTATGTTGAACCAGCCTAGGGCTGGGGTGGTTCCCTTTACACCAAACCCAGATATTACCGTTTTTGTGGATCGGAGGTGGGGTGCTGGTTTCAAACGTTTGGAATCTGCCTCAGACAGGACGTTAATGGTGGCGCCTGAGTCGGCTAGTGCGTTGAACGTCTGGCGGCTATAGCCAAAAGACACGTTAAAACAAGGAAGGTTTTTTGTCTTACCTGTGTGGAACACGTATTCTATGTCACTACCGCTGCTACGTGGGTTCCATTGGTCGTTTTCAATGCGGTTCACTGAGCGTCGATTGGTCTGTGTTCGTGAGGGACAATTTGTTTCCCGTTGTCTGTTTCCATCGTTTAATCTTCTGAAACAGGCAGAGGTGAAGTGTCCCCACCTTCCGCAGTATGTGCACTGGGTATGAAATGCCGGGCAAGACGTCGGTCCCCGCTCATGAGGATATTTTCCATTGCAATTCTTGCACTGGTATTGCCGGGGATAGTTGCTTGGTTGGCGCTGTTCGTCTGCGACTTTGTTTATTGAGGCGGTTGTAGCAGTAGCGGTGTTGTTGTCTTCCAGTCGCATTGTTTGTAGGTGCGACGCTATCGTCTCCGTTGTCCTTGCGTAGTTTATTAAGTCATGTAATGACATATCCGAGTTCATGAGTCCCTTCTGGTGGACTTTTTCCGACAGGCAGCCTGTAATTAGTTGGGACTTCACCTCGGAATCCATGTCGGAAACATGGCACATAGACGCAGCTTCCTTTAGTTTGCGGTAGAATTCTTCGATGCCTGGGCTATTTTGTTTAATTTTCCGGAACACAAATCGGTTGTGTTCCGTGTCGTTTTCCGGGTTGAAGTGGTTGTGCACTGCTGAGACAAGCTTGTCGAAATGTGTTTCATTTTTTCTGGTGTGACTCACTCCTGTGGTATCTCGTCGATGATGTCATTCAGAGCCTCGCCCGACAAACGTTAGAAGGATTGCTTTTTGCCGCTTGTCATCCTCAATGTTATGTGCGACAAAATAGTTTTTCAGTCTTTTTATGTATTTTGTCCATCTTGCTGCTTTGGCTGTTGACTCACAGTCAAATTCGGGGTAGTGTGGAATGGCGGCCATATTGGTTATATATCGAATATGTGTTGAAATTTTTTTTTTTTTTTTTTTTAGTGTGTTGATGTTCTGTTTTTGTGAGGGTAACGACTCAGTCCTCGTCGCCAATGTAATGTTCTGCGCAAGAAGCTATCGATGCTTGCTAGGCATCGATTAATGCCTTGCTAGGATTTTAGGATAGTTCTTGATTGTCCCTCCGGTGATGGTGGCCTCCTATTCCCTTTTGCCGTTAAGCTGCTGATTCCAATCAATCGGATGTCCGGAGGGGACCTAACTCTCGTGTCTCTAGGGGTTATCTCCCTTCTGATACTGGGATATTACACTCTGTGGTAATTATCTTGATTACCCTTTTGTTATAAGTATATTATGATAGTAAGTGTAGGTAGAGTAATGAATAACAGTGTAAACAATGGAATAGGCACAATGGGTTCAACCTCTGGCTAGAACAATGTGTTCTCTTCACACTAATATCCTTGGAAAAGGCATAAATACATATCTTCTCATAAGATATGAGCTCAATAGCAGAGCAAACTGAACTCCTTAGCACTGGTTGGCAACCAGTCTAAGAGAAGAAAAAATCTGAATACTAAACAAAGGAACCACTCTATTGTCTTTACTAAGAGCAGTCATAGCTATGCCCATTTAAAGCAGAAAGCAGGAAACTGTGGAGAACCATGACAGATTATCCTGTGGAGATAAAATGATAATGAACACAAAAGAGAAAGTGAACGATGCTTGGCAAGTTCCCCAAGTGGATATATCCAAAAATGAAGAACAATATCAAATTTAACAAGCAAGTGATCATTTACCATTAAGGTCATTTTGGGGAAAGCGGGGATATTTTCATGGTTTTAATTTTTTTGTTGATTTTTTTTTTGGTGGGGGGGGGGGGTGAAATAAAAAAAGAAAGTTGCTTATAAATTTTAGCGGCTATTTTTATTTAATAAAATATTTGAAAAAGACATTGTCATTAATTTCTGTGGAAATTAATTCTGCCTCAGTTCAATCAGAAAATTTGCTGACTTTTCTGTGCCAGACAATTTAGTGCAAGTACCAGAGCAGGAAAAAAACAAACCATGGGTTTATTGAGATGCAAATATAAAATTATTCTTCAAGTTGAATTATTTTTGGTAATTAATTTACTTCTGTTAATTCAGCAGGTCTGTTGTGACATTAATCACATTTAGCAATTCTCACATGGTGTGGGTTTCTTTTTAAGTAAGACACATTTATTTTTTAACCCAATTAGAAATTATAATTATCTAGCAATTATGGAAAATGAGCAAATAAACTGGCATACCAACAAACTATTTTTAACTTTTGTATACATATGTTTGTATGTGTTCATGCTGAATTGGCTTTGTACAGAATTTTTGGAAGTATTGGGATTATGGAATTTAAAATGTTACATGTTGGTTGTATTTTAGATGTGTACATGTTCATATGTAAACAATTAAAGAAGAAGTATAAAAAACTTGGGTTTCTACTATGGACTGTTTATTCTCTTTTTTTAACTGTAGGGAAACAAAATTATCAATGTCTCTTGGGAATGTCAGTTTTCTTTTTAGTCCAGTTTTTTTTTTGTTTCCTTCAAATCCATGTTTGATGAGTGTTAAAATTTGCAGAAATTTCAACTGTCACTTTCTGATTTTAAGTGTAATCATCATTTATATAAGTTTTAAAAAACATGTAAAGATAAGCATCATTATAATGATCAAGCTGAAGTTAGCCTTGCACAGAGTTGGAACAACCAAAGAAAAGTTTATACTTACTTCATCATTGGAGGCTTAAGCATGGTTACAATGTTCAAGCTTATGTCAGCTTTGTGTTGATTTGGAACAACCAAAGAAATAGTTGATTTACTTCTGTGGTGGAGGTTTGAAAGACACATGTGAGCACCATCTGCTGGAAAGTGAAAATATATATATCAGTCACTCGTGGACCTGGGAAACAAACATGCTCCAGTAGACATGTAATTTCCATGTTGGGCTACATCTTGGAGCAAGAGTGGGAAAGAGAGTGAAGAAGGAAAATATTTGTCATTTTATAGACTTAACTAGTGCTACCGAATAGGTATTTGATGAAACCAAGTTGGTTAATAAAATTCCCAATCCATTTCTTACTAGCTCATGTGAAAATGTATTTGTCTTTTTTTTATCATTCATTCTTATTTTTTTTATTTGTTGATTTTATTTCATTTTCCCACAGTATCATTGAAAGATACCATATATAGAGCATTTTGCTTTTATGTCCTGTGTCCCTTCAGGATATGTGCAATCATACCTCACTATAACTTCTTGTTCCTTATTACTGAAAACTTAGGTGACTACACTGTTTCCTTCAAATCCATGTTTGATGAGTGTTAAAATTTGCAGAAATTTCAACTGTCACTTTCTGATTTTAAGTGTAATCATCATTTATATAAGTTTTAAAAAAACATATATAAAAGATCTCAGTATGAAAAATAGTTCTGATGCACCTGAATCCTGTCAATTAAGATTGTGAATTTATCATTTCAACTCCTACTGTGTCATTCAACATTAAAATAAGTCTTACATTTTTGGGTTTTTTTTTTAAATTTCTATTTTATTTTCTTACTTCAGTATTAGATAAATCATATCTGAATAAATAGTTTTAATTTTCATCAATAACATTTTGCTAATTTTAAAAAAAAATGTATTTCTTATTACTTCGAACTAGGTACTTCCACAGATTAATGATACCTAAGGTTTAGAATGAATGTTCAAAAATAAAAAATCTTTCTTGAAACTTTTATTTTAGATTTAATTTCAAGCTAATAGAGTAAATTTAATATTTCCAATAAGCCAAAGACGGATAGGCAATGTGATAGATCCTGACATGGTATCTTGACTACAGTCACTTTCCCACAGACGTGATGTAACTTTCTTCCGTCTTTTCCATAAATATTTTCATGGCAACTGTTTTGACAAGCTACTTTCACTGGTACCCCAACTGCATGAATTTAAGCGTGCTATGAGGTTGGCATCTTGGTCCCACCCTTTCACTGTCAAAACAGTTAAATGTAACTGCTTCTTCTGCTCCAACAGCTTCTTCTCTCACACTTCCCAGCAGTGGAACTCCCTTCTTGTTACTTGCTTCACTAATAGCTATAATTTTCAAATATTCAAATGTAATGTCAATCAACATCTTCTGATGCCTTGATCTTGATCCCCATCCTCCTCCTCTTTATCTTTTGCTCAAACACCCCTCTTTACTCTTACTCTCTACTTTCACCTTGCTTGGGGTGAAATGCTTAAAAAAAGAAAATAAAAATCGTTTAGTTTAGAAATACAGCAAAATATTTATTAATTATTTTTAAACTAATTTTATTTTGCAATAATTTCCAAACCAATGTCTCTTTCACTGCAAAAAAAGATGTTAAAATTTGTCATGCTAATTTATACTCCATCTGTAGGCACAAGAAAAACAAGATTTTTAACCAAAATTTTGCATGTTCTAAAAAGGATTAAAAAATATAATTAAATAAACAAAAAATACTTTGGTCTTTACTCTTAATAATAACAAAGATTTTGACAATAAAACCTAATTTTTATTAAGTTTGGGCATTTTTCCTTACAGTATCCTCCTTTTTCAGTGATTTTGAGGAGGTACCTACTACAAGCATTATTTTTGGTGTAACATATGCTTGAGTAGGCACACTGTTTTTTTTTAAACACTGTGAATTATGTCTACCAGCCTGTGCATTTGAGAGATGAATATGCTCTCCAGCAGAGTTAAAAATTGCAACCCCCTTTATAAGGAAAACCAGTATCTAATCTGGTGTGCATTAGACCACTTGGTCACAAAGAACATCACAACACAAGTTACAATTAGCCTTTTCAATGTGTATCTTGTTCAGAACATCTTGATAGCTAATATGTGCTCAAAAATCCATATCTACTGACTTTTTATTTTCATATCTGAAACATAAATAATTTTACAAGGAATTAATAAATTTTTATTTTTAATCCAACATTATTTTTTATTGGAGTAATAAGAATTATTAATTCTTTAGAAATGATATGATGGACTTTGTCATTGTGGACTACAAATAAGAGCTGCTCAACTTCTATGAACATGCATGTGTCTCCTGAAGTCTGCAGGTGTTCTGCGACTTTTAGACAGATGGAACATGTAGTTGAGACATTGTGCTGGAGTGGCTTAGGATCATTTGCCACATGTTTCAGCAAGTGGATAGCAAAGCCTTATTTAATACATGCAACAAAACCACAATGGCAAGTAAAGTTATCATTGAGTGGAGCAGCATGCTGCCAAGTTTCTTTAATATTTGCATGCAGGTGATCCTGATGTTCAAGTTGACCTCACTCAAATCTTTATATAGATGTGAAGCAGAACAGGTGCCAGCTCTTTCGCTCTGATGCTTTGTTTTCCCAAGAAGTAAAGGGGATGCTGCATCACTTCAGATTGTCTTTGAAATGCAATAGTGGCCTCCCAACTGACCTGATGATATATGTACGCATACACATATAGTATTAATTATTCTCACACAACAAATGGCTAATTTCATCATAATATTTTAGAATATAGGCACAGTTCTGTTTCTCAACATTTTAACAATATTTTTTGAATATCCTTTTCAGGCTCTTCATATGATTATAAAATAACTGTTGAGTGAGTTTCATTGTGTGTGTGTGTGTGTGTGTGTGTGTATATATATGTGGACACAGACATATATATATATTTTATATTTTTAATTTCACCCATGAACATTTTTTTGTTTTTGGCATCATGATGCAATTCACTCTGCCAGAAATTTGGAAACAGCATGCTGTACTGCTTGGCATTTGCATTGGAGGCTTCAATACAAAAATTTCAGATTGTTTGGGTGTCAATCTGAGAACAGTGCAGAGGATTTGGAAAGAGTTGGATGAGGATAATGATGATTACAAAGTTACAGCAGCTCAGAAAACTCACTCTGATCATTCTGATAAGAAAAGATCTCACAAATTTTTTGGGCCTAACACTCAACATGGAGGCATACATCATGCTGTCTTGGGTCAAGAGGGTGACTGCTAGAAGACCCTATGCCATGTCAACAGAACTGGAAACCATGTCACACAAGCAGAAGAAACCAGTCAGCGTTGTCATGAAAATTTCTGCGACCATATCACATCTGACCACCTAATTCCACAGACTGCAATTCCCTAGTAAAACTAAAGATCAACCAAAGGCAAGGATTATGGCAGCATTCACCAACATAAATAAGGAGACTGTTCAGAAGAGTTACAGAAGATTCCAAAGTCATCTGGAAGCTGTGATTGAAGCCAGTGGTGATTTTATTGAATAAATTTACTCTTTAGTATCTCAAGATATTTTTGTATAAATTTGGTAAATATATCTGATAAAATGAGATGTCAGTGTTATTTTCATTTTTGCATAATTTAGATGACAATTTATCCATCATACCCTGTATGTGTGTGTGATCATGATAGCTCTAAATATATGTGTTCTGGGTGTAATATTGGAGATTATGATGCTCTCCGGAATTTATTAAATCAGTACGCTCATATCCTTCGTTATGATGGCTGGTGACTTTTTGCTAGCATAACCATCATGGGCCTTCAAACTGTTTCATTGACCCAATTTCACTCACAAGGCTTGAGTCAACCTGTGGTTTGCTTTTCAGTCCTTTTTCCAAAGGTTCAACATACTAGGGCCAGAACAATAATAAAAAAAAATATCATGGTTCCTGACAAACTGAAAGTGAATGTTCTAACCACTTGGCCTTGTGCTACACATATAGACAAAGATATGAATTGAAACTGTGGATTAAATCTGTTGTAGCATACCCACGGATAATAATGGGTGTGTCCTCATTCACATAAATATAGTAATAAATACTCTGCAGTCGGAGATTCATTGTGGAATTCACTTGACTCACTACTAGCAGTTGACTACTTATACATGCTGCTGGCAAATCTTATATGTGCTGTTCTTGTTCTAAGTATTATCATTCATTACTAACCTACATGTGATTATTCTATTCAGTAACCTTGCCTAGGTTAGAACATATATCCTAATTATATGAGGTAAAAGGATTTGCTTCATTATTAATTATATATATATATGTGTGTGTCATCCACAGACTGTTTCACCAGCATACATATGGATGATAATGGGTAAGTCCCCATTCACATAAATACAGTAGTAAATACTGTATGTTGGTCTGCAGTTGGAGATTCATTGAGGAAATCAGTTGACTACTACTTCTACATGCCACTCGTGAATCTTATATATGTTGTTCTTGTCCTAAGTATTATCGTTCATTTCGTTTGATTATTTTATTCAGTAAACTTCCCTAGGTTATAACAAAATTTGATAGAATGATTGAATAAGAAACAAACAGAAAAACATTTATAAATTTAACATTTTCCACTTTTATTTTAGCTTCAGGAATTTTGCAGAAATGAGTTATAGAAGAGAAATTTTCAGTACTTTGAAAAACAAACAGTACAGTACCAAAACGTTCTTTTTCATAAGTCATGTCCTGTAGTGGAACATGTTAAAGTAATAAACATTTTCCTATTTGTTTCTTATTTAATCATAAATATATATGTTGCTTTTTCTACCTGATATCAAACGCAATAAGATGACAATAAGAAAAACAAAATGAGAGAAATGCAAATATAAATGAAGAAATAATGACATTTAATTGAAACTGGAATATAAGATCTGAAATAATGAGATAAAGAATAAATGTTCAAATTAAAAATGAAGGACAATTTCTTGCATTAACAGATTATGAATAAGTGAATATTCTATTAAAATGATGATGAGCAATGAGAGTTGTTTTGTAGGAACCGGTATACATAACATTCTCTATCTTCATTCTACACAGACATAAAATTCACAAACACAGGAATGGAAGATTATATACATTAATGCATTAATGCACTGGACTATTTATATGAATGTATATTTTTTTATACAAGAAAATCTCACACAGGGAGAGATATCAAAATAAAGCACTAAGAAGATTCAATACTGCTTTTATAATATTACTAATCAGCAACAAGCTGTAATAACAGTGTTTTCAGTTGCTATTTCTGGTAACTCTCCTATGGACACTCACTTCTGCTTAGGCTTATGACCATAAAATGTTGAAACATCGATTTCCATAAGAACTCCGAAGTTAAGCCATTTTAAGCCTGGTCATTAGTTAGATGGGTGACCAGTTGGGAATACCAGGTGGTTTATGCTTGGATGTGCAGGGGGTGTAATGGATAATGGCTCAGAATTGTTAATTGGAGAAATGAGTTCCAATTTCAATTGGGTTTGTTATATTCACTTACATGCAAATGCCCTTGGGAAAGGTATGAATTCACCTCTTCTTCCCCCAGCTATGGGTTAATTAGTAAGACTTGTATCAGTAAATAATTATTACCTTAAAGAAAAAATTCTTACAATCTAAAAATATTTTTTGGTTTGAAATCACCTGCAAAGGTTTGATAAGCTATAAAAAAGGAATCAAACAATCAATCATTTCTGCTTAATCCAATAATGTAACCTGATAAGACTGCCTGATTGATTTGTTTTTTACAGTTCATCAACCCTTTGTAAGTTATTTAAAGCCAAAACATATTTTGGATTGTAAGAATAATACTTTTTTTGTGATTGAACATTGTATTAAAAAATTTTTGAGAACACCAATGACTTTTTCAGATATAAGTCTTATTATTTAACCCATAACTAGGGAGATGGCATGGATTCATACCTTTCCCCAAAGTATTTGCACATAAGTGAATCTAATGAACCCAACTGGAATTCAAACTCAGTTCTCTGATTTCTCACATCATGCCACTTAACTATGGCTTAGATAAACTAGCTTGATGTTCAATGGAGTTAGATTGAACCACAGAATGGATAACAATGATTAAAGACAGAGGATATTAGGTAATTCTCTTTAAATAAACTATATACAACTTAAGGTTTTAACTAATAATTATTAACTAATAGTAATTATCCGTTACTATGAAGAGCTACTAATAAATTCTAAGCTTGTCCCAATTCATGAAATCTAATTAAATATCAGATTTTTTTATTAGATTTCCTTCTTGGTTAGGTTGAGAACTTTTCTGCAACATCTCTCAGATTGCTCATTGTTTCTTTGTGTTGCTCATATGATAAACAGGGGAGATAACTCGGTTGCAAAGTAACTGTTTCATAACATTCAAACTCTAACTCGATCTACAAGTAACCACATCCTGGAAAGTTTTTATTCAGATATTTAATGCTAAATCTTGCTGTCTGTATTTTACAGCCCTTCATTTGGGTTGACATTTCGAGTTGATATTCGAAGTGACACTACCTTCTTGCCTTTTGCTGGGTATCTGTCATTGACATTTATGTTCAAAAAAACTAACAATTCTGTGGCTTTTCTATAACATCATGAGCTGACCTTCAGCAGAGGTTTTCCTTACTTTTACATAAAAGGTCAATTACTAACTTTCCTTTTCATAGCTTCAGTTGCTTTGCATCTTAAGAACTTTAAAACCAACCAGCAAAGTGTATAATATGTGTGTGTGCGTGTATATATATATATATATATATATATATATATATATATATATATACACACACACTTGCTTATCAAATCATGTGATTAAGTAGCTTTAAAATCAGTTAAGGGCTGGGAGACACATCTATATCGCTTCACAAAAATATAACAGAACTGTTCAGAAGCCATTTCATTTTGCTAGCAGAAAGTGACAAGTCATTGTGACTGAGAGTTTGAGCAGATTGTCCTTGTTCAAAACTGTTGATCATGCAAAATTATGTGCTCTCTCTCGCTCCCAGAAACTGTCACTATAGTCCAGCCAGCAGAGATGTGGGATCTGTGGGTGTTTGCAACACTAGAGAAAATAGCTTAACCACCAGGATGAAAATGGGTTTGGATATGTCTCGCATGTAAAATACTCCCCCCCCCAAAAAAAATGGCAGCTTTACAAGTCATATATTTAAAAAAGATAGATCTCAGAGTCGGATAGACTTTTTCAAGAATCTATTTTAACATATGCAAATTTGAACTGTCGATTTATAAGAAGTTCTTAAAGATGTGACAGAGAGAAGAGTGACTATGAATAGGAGACATGTTGGATTTGTTTCACTTATGCTACTCTTTTGGTTGAAGGAAACAAATTAGGGAACTTTGTTACAAGCCAGAAGAAACTGATTACACTGTTAGACAAATACACATGTGCCTAAACAGGCATCTATAATAAGTTTTATGTAGCCACCCTAGCAGAAACACATACCTGGATGAGTGGACAGCCATAAATATACTTGTATATTTACATACATAATACAGGGTGCAATGAGTAAATTGTCACCATTTTATATTTTTAATTTCATGCATATGTGTTATTTGTTTTTTGTTTTTTTTTTGACTGCACAGGATAATAGGGTCAGTTGGGCACCATCTGTGAGAAAAAGAGCCTCATGGTTCATTCCACCAGAAATTTGGTAACAGCATGCTATACTGCTTGGCATTTGTGCTGGATGTTCCAATACAAACATTTTAGAGTATTTGGGTGTCAATCTGAGGACAGTATGGAGGATTCAGAAAGAGTTGGATGACATATCCAATCAACATCATGGTGTTTGGAGTATCATTAGTGATGCTAACATTATGCTGCCATTCATGTTCCCACAGTGTTTCACACTCAACACAGAGGCCTACATCAAGTGCCTTGAAGAGATAGAGCTGTCCTGGACTAAGAGGGTGGCTACTGGAAGAGCCTAGATCTGGCAAAAGGATGCTGCACTATGTCACACAAGCAGGAGAACCAAATCATGGTTGTCAGACAATTTTTGTGACCACAACACACCTTACATCTTGCCACTCTCTAGACTGCAACCCCCTTGATTGCTATATGTGGGGCGTAATTGAGTGAGAGGCTAACAAAACTCCTTGTAACACCAAAGATAAACTGAAGGCAAGAATTATGGCAGCATTCTCTAACTTAAACAAGGAAGCCATCCAGAAGAGTTGCAGGAGATTCCAAAGTCATCTGGAGGCCAGGGTTGAAGCCAATGGTGATTTTATTGAATAAATTTACTCTTTTGTATTTCACAATATTTTTTTGTAATTTTGGTAAATATATCTGTTAAAATGAGATGTCAGTGTCATTTTCATTTTTGCATAATTTACATGACAATTTATCCATCGCAGCCTGTACTTATTTATTATTTCTATAAATATATGTTTTGGGAATTCATCCATGAAAACAATTACTCTTATAAATAATTTACTGGACTTAAGCAGTGTGATTGTTGAATTTGTTAACATCCTCTCAACTCCTGTTCTGTCAATGCAAGGAGGACAAAGAGAAACAGTAAGTTACATTCAATCACTTCAGACCCCCAAATACCGCCAGTTACAATGAACAGATGTCCCCTCCAGCTGACACCACGCCTAGAGAGAATATTGGACTTCAAACTCACACCCAACCTCAAGTTTAATTCTTCTATATGATCCATCGCTAAAGATGCAGATAAAATAATCGGCTCCCTGTACTGCTCCAGTAAATACCTAATTCCGCATGCTATCCTCTACCTTTACAAGAGCCAGATCAAACTGAAAATGGACTACCGTTGCCATATTTGTGTGGGAGCTTTCCAGTCCTTATTTTCCAGACTTGATAGAGTTCAAAAGCGTCTCTGAATTCTTGTTGGAGAAGAAGTATTTTCCCCCTTCCAATCTTGCTCTCAAAAGTGAGATGTGGCGAGTCCCTCACTGCTCTATCACTACTTTCATGGAAAGTGCTCAGATGAAGTACATTTCTTGGTTCCACCAGGTCTAACCTTTACGGCTAGGACCCGCCATGTCATTTACATAGTCACAAACCACCAACATTCCTTCCATATTCCATCAGCAAGAAGTAATTTCCACTCAAACAGCTTCTTCCTATGAACCATTGCCCTGTGGAACAGACTCGCAAGAGCATTTTTCTCTCCTATCACTACAATCTTAACCTATTTGTCTAGTGTTAACTGTTATCTTCCCTTCCTGTCTATATGAACTACCCCTTAGCATAACCTTCTATTTTGAGTGGCACCTGGCCCTTGTACAGAGTGAACCTTACTGTAAAAGAAGAAAATAAAACTCACCCAAGGAGTTTGTGTAAATAGATAGTAGAGAAGGGACTGTGGGAGATAGTGAGTTAATTCTGATTGGGCAAAAAAACACAATTAATTAATACAAAGGTAGAAATCAGACCAGTTGAGAAAGAGAATCTAATAAGAACAGATACTACACTTTGATCCCAGCTAAAAGGCCGAGAAGTGATTTATTTAGTTGACCCCCCGAGTCAGGTTGTGACACAAGGCTGGTTTTTAATGTGGGGACCCAAGTGTTTTCACTCAGACCACTGGTCCAAGCTGGTCTTAGCTTGTCCAAGCTGGTCAGAGCTGGTTTTGGCTTGTCCTAGCTGGTCCAGACCCGAGCCATGATCAAATCTCAGCCAAAAGGCCGAGAAGCGATGGCGATTGATAAAACGGACATTTTTCATGCACTGTAGAAACCAATCAAGACAATTCTCAAAAATTCAGTTTCCATACATTAAATAAAATAACATTCTCCGCAGAATTATTTTTGAATTAAAGAGAAATGTTTATAAGATGGGGATTTGGCTAGAAAGAAATAAGGGAAGATAAAAGTGTTTAACATCTGCCATTATCTCATAAATAATGTAATGTTCTGTTTGGATTGCATGGAAAGAGGGGAAAAGAAACTTGATTTCAGCAAGAAAATGAAAGAAATAAAGAAGAGATGATGGAAGTGTTTAGCGGCTGTTTTTGTGAAATGGAAAATGTCAATTTCAAATCTTTTCATTTGTACCCACATCTTGACCAGCATTCATATTGATGATTATCAGCGCAATATTTTGTTAAAGTTGTTAAGCTTAAATGTCTAACAATGCAATGAAGGAATTTTTAAGGTAGAAATCAGACCAGTTGAGAGAGAGAATCTGATAAGAACAGATACTATACTTTGATCCCAGCTAAAAGGCCGAGAAGTGATTTATTTACTTTAAGGATATTGTTGCTTATGCAATCATTAATTTAAGAATTAAGATTCATCATAATATTAAAATAGGAAAACTGTGAAATTTTCATGGGCTAAAACTAGTAAATTATTGTATTATCATACATTATCTTGACAATAGCTAAAAATTCAAGCAACATACCGGC